ACTCAAAGGAGGAAGTGTCTTTGCAGACCCAGATAAATTCGACGCGACGAAGACGGCGCGGTGGGTTGGGCGAAAGACGCAGGTGCCAAATGTTTTTGAGAATGGATGCCCATGGCGTCACGCCAATGCCCGTGCCGATTAGCACTGCAATTTCGTTGTCAAAAACGTCTTCGGCAGGCGCTCCATAGGGCCCATCAATGCGGATGCTGGGCATCTCCTGTCCGTGTTGGAGCGCCACCTCGTACATGCCCATTGGATCCATGTCATCATAAAGCTTCGCTTGCGCGGGACCCGCACCAAGCGCATCGGCTAGAGCGCGAGTCCAGTCCCCGACCTGCCGAACGTGGATGCTGACGTACGGGTCGAATGGGCAGGACGTAATAGTGAATGGGTGCCATTGGTTGTAGGAAACAGCGGGACAATTGATGAAGAGCCACTGGCCGGGCTTGTATTTGAACGATGGTTTGACGAATTGTATCTCGACGGCATCTGAAACGGGTTAGCCTTGTAGTTTGGACCGGCATTGCTGTTCCTAATGCTTACCGTATGGGTGACGAATCACTTTAGTGATTGTCGTCTCCCTGCGCGCTCTGATCTCGCGCGCGATGCGTTCAACAAGATAGATGGCGCCGCCCACAAGCTCCCATCGCCAGCCTTCGTAGCCGAGGCAGTGGTTCCAGAACGGTCTCCCCGCAAAAGGTGAGATTGGATCTGTCGTGTCGCGGACAAAACATCCAGTGGCGTGTGTGTACATACCCAAGAGGAATGGAATGAACAAGTGATGCGTGTACCAAAAGGTCTCATAGGATTGCTGGCGGATGCGGTGATGAGCAGTCGTGTATATTAAGAGCATGCAGAGGAGCATAATATGTCCGGTTATGCCGCCTGCCTGAGTGTAGTGGATTTGGAGCGCGAGTTCGGGTCTGACCTGGGTTTTCTCGACGTTGAAAAAATTCACGTAGTGTCCGGCGGTATGGATGACTGTAAACACCAGCAGGGCGTAGGCGACTTGTCGATGAAACCATTGAGACTCATCCAGAGGAAGCCATCTGACCTTTGGACGAACGACTCGAAGAAGGGTCCGACACATGGGGAGGAGTATGAGGAGCGTGTCTACCGATAGGACCAGACCAGCTCCTCTAGATATCCATACAGACCATCTGAGTTTATTGAGTGCTGCGAGGCGCTCGTCTGTTGCTTGCTTCCACCTACAATTAATATGTCAGTCAAGTGATTGACGCATGGAGTGCCTTACTTACCATCCTACTGCAAAAATTGCAATGTGAAAGCCGTAAAACAAAAAGTAAAATACCAACTTCCTCGGCTCGAAATGAGCCTTCCAGCTCTTTTTCTGCTGTTGAACAGCCATGTCGGACGTCGTAGAATGAATATCGGGTGATTCCAAGGCTCAATTCCACGAAATTGAAATCTTCCGAGGTGCGCGTTGACGAACGGCAAGAAACAAAGGATCGAAAGCAAGGCAAAACTCTTGCTACAGCCCAAGGCTTTGACAAAGATTCCACAGATAATGCACCGAAAAATGATGAGGACGCGATGCCCTTTCCCAAGAACGCAAGGAAGGTTTATGGGCGAGCAGAGCTTCGAAAGTACTCCCTGTAAGAACAAAGTACAAAAAATTTGTCCCTACAATCAGAATACGCTGACTGTCTCGGTCGCGCAGTCACGCGCCGATCAAACGCTACTGCTTACGAAGAATTATGCCCAGCAGAGTCCTCCAAAAGGTGTTTCAACAAGGATGGCCGTTTCTTGGGAAAGCTTGTCTCAATTTGACGTGAAGAGCCGCAGCCGCTATGATTGGCTGCTTCCCCTGGTGGTGTGAGATGCGGAGCGGGATAACGATGACAGCGTCGTCAAACGAGCGGTAACGTGTATTGGAATGCGGGAAGCTGGGGGGACTAGCAGCCTTGGGAATCGCGTTGCCGTCGGAAGGGTGTGTCAAGTCTGAGACTGACACTCGATACCCATGTTGCGGAGGATGTTTTGAAAAATCTTTCCAATCCTGACGCGACGATGTGTGATTCCAAGCTCTTGATTGGGGCGAACTGAGGCTCTGATGGGCCGGTTACCAACTTTCGCCTATTCTTGGACCTCCTTAGCGGCGTCGATGGTGTCGACGTGATGTTGAGACTTCTTGTGATTGTCGCGGCCGAGTTCTTGGGATAGGCGCTTCTCGAAGGATTCTTGCTAGGTTCTTTCAACGCCTATCCTGTTGAGTCTGTCGCGGACGCAAAATTGTCGGCTGCTGCCTCAGAGTATAGGAGGATTCTCGAGGCGAGGCCTTGTTGACTCGACCAAAGCTACGTTTTGGGCTCGTGTACGAAACCGTAGTCGAGGTATGGAGGCGGTGGTTCGAAATAGTCTTGGAATTTGCGTGCAAACACCACTCTGGACGGAAAGGCCGATATTCCGAGAAGAGTCCAGCAGTTTTTGCAGAGGGCGACGCTATGTTTGGGGTGTTTGGAGGAGCTGGTGCAAAGAAGTCTTGATGACACGGGATATGCAGAAGACGGACAGGCGACAGAAGTGGAGCAACGTGCAGCACCCTTGGACCACATCATGTCTCGATTGCGTGGCAGGGCAGCTGTTTGCCATGGGCGCTTGTGAAGTTGTGGAAGGCGGTGGACAATGCCTGCAGCTGTTCCTGACCACTCGTTAGACTGCAGCCAACGGGACGCAGCCTGTAGGCGCCGACATGATGCACGATGCGTGCACGCGAAAGCTGTTCCAATATCTCTGGAACCAGCATAGGCATCGTGCTGACAAAAGAGGATACACACGGCCGAGCCAAGGCCCAAGCCTCTAGTCGATAGAGCCGACATGTTCTGGCAGGTTGATTGGAGATTTGGCCGCGCCGTTGTCAAGACGTGAGGACTGGCCAGTGAAACTTCATCATGGCCAAGGCATGGAAAACTCTCCCAAGAAACACTGCCCAAGATCCTGAAGTGGCTTCATCATGTTGTGTTTTGCGATGGAGAGAGCGAGTCGCCGGGCAGCGGACGAGGCTTTTGACGGGTCAAGCCTCAGCTTGGCCTTGGTGATGTGGAGGTGCCGTGACAAGTCATGGCAAGAGAGAGCGAGGAGCAGAGGGGCCAATGAGTAGGTGCAGGGCGGGTGTCACGTCGATGGCGGGTGTGACATGGTGGTGAGGATGGGAGAGGGTTGGGGTTGGCCGCGGCTGTGATTTGCTGCTTCCCCTGGCGCGACGGCGCGCGCACCAGCCCCAGGGCGCTTAGCACCCAGCACCCCACCTCGCATGCATACTCCACTCCATCCATCAAAAACTTCCAACGCCCACTTCTTCGTTGCGACGGTCAATCGTATTCCTGACACTCCAGATCCTTCACTCTACTCGGCTTACCCAAGCCCCACCGCCTCGTCATAGATATATTGCTAATGTCGTTGCTCCTCAACATCAAGAAGTTGCCCTCACGCCCCTGCTACTTTCGCCAATCACTCTCGACATGGGCAAATTAATCAAGAACCACTGGGCTCGCTTGATCATGCTCACAGCTTCCGCTTGTACGTATCTTTTGGGACCTTCCCTTATCTTGATTCCTTTCTGACATGATTGAAATAGATCAAGTTGGTGCATCCATCGAGGGATTCTTTTGGCCAAAGATATTCTGGGACTTTTTGACCCGCAACCTCGATGGAGCAGTGAAGCCAGTTCCGGCACTTCAAATCATCAACCTCCTCCTCGGTCTACTGGGCTTTGCTTGGGAATGGCCCCTCAGTCTTCTGGCCGGATCAGCTCTACACAGATCCATGGAAGCCCGATTGGTCGTTTATCCCCTGAGCACCCTCGCGGCTTTGCTCATCTACCAAGGAACGAATGCTGGCCTTTACTACATTGTTGGAATGGTTGTTTACTTCTGGGCTTATAGCGAAGGCGAGGTACGTGTATTCTTTCTGCTTCTCTGTTGACTTTTTGCTGATTGTTCTCCAGGTCGTATGCGCAAAGCCTTGGACCTTACCCAAGCGGAGTCGGCCCGCTATGGGAGTTTGAAGATACCCTTCATGTGTTGGAGTTTGGGATTTGCATCGGGCACAGCGAGGCGCTTTTGGACTTTTCGTGCTGCTGCAAGATGACAGCGCATTTTTCTACAATTCAGATACCTAATCCTCGTGCTGAGACCACACGAAATAACGTCACCGGCTGGCGCAATGGAAGCATCTTGTTTCTCAACTATTTGCAGTTGTCCTCATTCTCGGTGCAATACTTCACAGACGCGGCTACTTGGTGGAGCAAGGCGAAGTTGTGGGGAGCTCCATCTTACCACATCTCGCGACGATGACTTCGTGAGCGCGAACTCTGACCTGTTCCAGCATCCATTCGTAATGAGGGATTAGAAACAAATCAGGAAAATACCCCTGAAACACTTGGTTACCCCTGAGCTTTAGTGAACGTACTGATCTTTTGACATGTTGCAGAAAGAATTAAGAACCTCAATTGTCGCAGAAAATACAAGCAGCCTGTCAGACAAAAACCTGTGCTTTGCTCATCCTTCTGGATCGGGCCGCGTCGCCTCCATACGTAGTGCTGACCCCGGGGACACGTCCGCGCTTCACAAACATACTCCGAAACCCAAAACTTGTCCCTGTTGTCACCACTGCTGCGCCAAGATGTCTCGAAACAGTACACTCTATTAAAAAAAAATGTGAAAAAAACCTCAATTACATACCGCTCTCCAAAACTAAGAGCGAATCGACGCGTGAGCAGTCTCTAAAAACTAACCCGCGCTCAACAGGGGAGTGTGCGTACGTGAGCATGTAGCATCCTACCATGTTCCGCGGATCCCTGGAACTGTGAGTCGCAAAATATGTCCAGAAAGAAAGTTACGATCACCATCTCATCTTCAGTCCACCACAACAGCCCCTGGATACGCACAGATGCTCGCTACCACACAACCACCGTCGCCCGCCCAAAGCAACAGGCAATCCATCGGGGCAAAAGAGAAATCAAAAGACCAAAAGACAGATAGATCGGCCAGGAATTGAACCTGGGACTTGCCGCGGGCACGACTGTTGTTGCCACGGCATGCGTTACCACTACACCACCAATCCGTTTGCAGATCTGCCGCTATGTGGAAGTACTAGGCACAATTCTTTATATGCAAAGATCTTTGCTTCAACTCTTAGTGTAAGCTCCCACTTTCTGCCTTCCTGTCATGCAGAATTTCTTGCTGCCACGTGTCTCACGCGTGATTCAAATGCACTATCGTTTTGCTTCAAAAACTCTCAAACCGCTCCAGAAAGCTAACTCTCGCGTGTAGAGCTGCGTGGGCGTAGATTAGGGCAAAATGGTCTCCGTGATCACGTCAGCGGCGACTTTTTTTCGATGGACCCTGAGTATCTGACTGATGCGGCGAGGCTTCAAAGTTTTGGCTATGGTTTCTTCACCCGAGCATCTCCAGTTGCTCCAATGCTGACTGGACATTTGGTATTCTGCCCAGCGTTCGAGTGTTCGAGTGCTTGGAAGCATTGATACTTCGAGCGGTCATTGCCGGTCGCTGGACGTCTGGATGTTGGATGTAATTGAATGCATACTTGCGGATTTAATGCCACACTTCCAAAGCTGTATAGAGTCTTGAGAGAATGGGAAGAAGTTGTTGAGGGTCTAGACATTTGAAGTGTGGCAGCGCGCGACTGGCGATTACTCCATTTCAGGTATTTCTGCATTCGAAAATAAAGGGATCAGATAGACGGTGATTTCAGCCATGAAGAAGGGAATTGCCATGTACGGAACCAGATTATTAGCCAATTTCCAATGGGTCCGAAAGTGCAGAAAGCCTGCCCGGGAACGCCGTCTTGCTCCACCACCATCCACAAACAGACCAGAAATTCAACACACCAGCAACGCGGATTCCAACCATTGATGACTAGCTATTCAAGTTGCGCCCGAACTGTTGCTGCTCTCCCACGCGGACATCCCATGGATGATGAAACTAGTCTACCCAAGGTCGGAACCCAAAGGCAGGAAACACTGAGCCCCCAACACAACAAAACTCATCGTCCCAGCAACGAGTGATCCGTGGTCGCGCTCAGCCAGGAAACGAGATATATCAAGCAACCAGATTATGGCAGTTCTGAAAGTGAGTTCACCGCGAAGTAGGCCGGCATCATGCCATGGCATGGGCATCGGAAAAGTATGGATTGACGTTATCAACGGCTTTCAGTTCGCAATAGAAATAGAAGTCAAATTTGAGATAAGTTTTGTGTCTACGGAACAGACGTTGAGACTTTTGGGCGAAGTTCGTGGTACCCCAGAATTTTCCCTTACTCGGCACATGTTGAGTAGAATGGCTGGTTTCTGGGCTCAAAGTAAGACTTTCCCAGCAGTTTGATTCAGTAACAGGAAAGTGCGGAAGCAGATGCTGTTGGGGGTGTTGAGGAAGAAAGCAACTTCCCAAAGTTTTGCACCCTGGATGGCTCGGTCCTGGAGACCATGGTTGAAGTAATTTCCCCCTAACAGCAAAGGCCCAAAGCACATAAAAGCGCGAGTTCCTCTCTCTCTTGTTCCTCTTGCCTCTCCATCTAAACTCAACTATTTTCACTACAGCGAAAACAACAGCGACAAAGACAACAGACCTCGACCTACCACCCAAAGCATTTACGACACTTCAAGTAAGCCTTACCTCGCGTCAATTAAATGATATCTGGCAATGACTGACTTTTAAAGACCTACACTTTTTTAAACCTTCACCATCAAAATGTTTCTAATCTCCCAACACAACAAGAGGTTCCCGGCCCGTCGTCCTGCTCGCCAGCCCGCCAACGCTGGTTCATCGCGCCCTGCTGCATCCGGTGCCTCGCGCGCCGAGACAAATCAATACTGGCGCAACAGGGATCAGGGGGCCCAGCGCTCGCTGCCAAATGCGCCTCCGGCTCGCCGCACTCTTCAGCGGCAGCAGATCGAAGGAGACGGTGTTGCCGGGCCGTCTCCTCGGGGAGGCAATATGCCCCTTGATTCTCCCGGTTTGACCTGGAAGAGAGCGCCGCCGGGTTCCACCAACGGTGTTCTCCAGGGGGCCACTGCCCCAACATCCCCTCCTCCTCCACCGTTGAAAGGAGAAGAGAGGCTGCTCCGACCAGGGGCTGCATCCCAGGGAACCACACCGCCGTTCCCTATCCCCTCTGGATCGCTCCCTCCCACCCCTCCACGCTCCACTCCGCCCGCCGGCGAGAGTGGCGCAGGCCTCAACGCAGGAGGCTCCCTCACGCAGCTGTACTCTCCTCCGGTCGACCCTGGCGGTGGCATCACGCCCTACTACCACGCGGAGCGCTTCCGCCTACATGGCTTCAAGGCGGCCCCGGGCCTCGACGGGAACTGCGGCAGGTATCTGCCGCAGACGCTTTATCCAGATGCCGTAATCCCGTTTCGAGAGGCCGACTCGTGGCGGAACCGCTTGTACCCCACACCGTGGGAGCAGCAATGGCAGAATCAGATGATGCCGGTGCTGCGGCAGCAGATGGAGATGATCCGGGAGCGGCAGCTTCAACAGCAGCAGCTCGAGCAATTTTTGGCGGAGAGGAAGAGGCAGGAGGCGCTCCGGCTTCAACAGCAGCAGATTGAGGAGGTCTTGGCGGGGAGGAAGAGGCAGGAGGCGCTGCGGTCTCAACATCAGCGGCGGCGGATAGAGGTCGAGATGGGGAGGATCCGGACGCGGCAGCTTCATCAGCAGCAGCCTCAGTAAAACCTGGCCGAGCTGGAGAGATAGGAGGCGCTGCATCCTCAACTACCTGACAACGCATTGGAAGACCTGGACTTATAGGCCATGCTCTTGTTATTGTACGGAGGCCCACTACACCAAGGGATCATGAACGACAGGGAGTACCGCCCATATTTGGAGGAGTGGCGCGAAGTGGCCGGGATAAGTGAGGCGAAGAACCTGTGGGAGATAGAACATATTTGGCGGCGTCGGCGTTTTGGGGTTTTGGGGGGGGGGGGGGGGGGGGGGGGTTGGGGGGGAAGAGGCGGTGAGATTATGGAGGATTTTGTGTGTAGATATGAACAAGCAATGGGATTGATCTGCGCCCTTGATATTCGCCCTTGAAATCTTCCACGTCCAGTGTTATGGAAACAGCGTTGATCTTATATACTGCGGACACCACTGTCTTTTCTGTCTTTGCAACACCAAGGCTTAGCGTGATTGATGTAAGGCAAGCCAGTCTAGCTAAGCGGTTGAAAGGTTTGAAAGTGATTGGTGATTTCTCAAGAGAGCTGAGCAGGTAGCGGATTGCTTTTCGAAGCAAAGTTGCCATGTTCGAATGCTGTTGCGCAAGTTGGCAGCGAAGAGCTAGGCCAGGGTTGATGGTGATTTGTTTGGAGTCTGGTGTGTCTGCAGCGAAAAAAGACCAGAGAGATTGTTGGGACGCGAAAGGAGCATTCGCTTGCTTTGTTCCTAGAAGATTGTTAGTCGAGGTCTTGGGTACGGAGTAGCATTGACACCTTTTGGATCAAGTAAAAAGCGCCAGCAGAATTCCACAAGCACTGTCATGCGCCTCATGAATCCCGCAGATCAGTTTCTACAAAGAGAAAGAAATCTGATTGATGTGCATGCGCTTTTCCAAGGCCCGCAGGTCACTTGGTCCTTCTCAATTATGGAAAGACAGAGAGAATGATGCCTGCTCAAACGCCAATCAATGCTAACTCGCTAAGAGTGTGTGTAGGTATGCAGTAATAGCGACGGCAAGCAAAAGCCAGCGACGCTCAACAAGAGCACGCTTCGCTGAAACGACATTATCCAATTGGACTATTCTCTCTCTTGAACAGCAGCGGAACCGACAGCTATGGCGGGCCGGGTTCCAACAAAGTGAAAATTCAATAATGGGAGGCTCAGGATGAAAAGAGACCTAAGCCCTCAGAGTCTTTAGACTCCTCGCGCTGTTCCCGTTCGCGTTCATCCTCCTCCGTCTTCTCGCTTTGAAGACTCTCTGCCAGACTCGCCGTCTTTCTCTTCTTGCGAAAGCTGGACCAACTCAACCCACTAGAGCGATCCGCTTTCTTTTCCTCTTTTCCACGCTGCTCGCTCCCGACAGCTGGGCTGCTCGCGGCACTGCTACCGCCAAAGGCTGGAGTAGGCGGCTCCGTCGAAGTGCCATCGCCGTCGTCCGCATCCTCGAAACTGCTGTTGTTCTTCTTCTCGCTGCGAGAAAAGAAGCCGCCCTTCTTTTCACCGCTACCACCGCCCGTGCCTGGAAGGCTGAACTTGGACGAGCTGCTCTTTCGGCTAAGTTTACTCATCCAACTCTCCTTGCCCACGCTGGTGCCGGCAGCAGCCACGCTTTCAGAGCGAGACTCAGTGCGGTCAAGACTAGGTCGCGGGCTCCAGCTACTCGATAGGGACAGGCTCGCAGTTTCGGCCACGCTGCTTGCTACAGTACTACTGCGGTCACGGCCGGTGTGGCTGTCGCGTGATTTTCGTGTCAACGTGGTCGAGAGATCGGCCCCTTTAGTAATGAAAACATCTGAAGCAACAGTCGCGGCCGACGGCGGGTACAAGGTGGATGTGGCGCCACTCGCAAAGTCGGTGGCAGAAGTGGGACTTTCGTCTGTGCCATCAAGACCTGGGATTGGAAGATCTCTCGCTTTGGACTTTCCCTTGATCTTCTTGTCCACTTTTTCCTTCTCCGTCCTGGCCTTATCCGCAGAGCGGGTCCATAGAGACTTGAAGTTGGGTGCTGCTGGATTCAATTTGCCGCTTGGGGGAGTTGACGGCCCCGGCTGGGGTTGTGACTGGGGACGCGTGCCTATTGGCGCCTGTTGAGGCGAGCGGGTGTCTTGAGGATGGTCGAATTCGTCGACTACGGATTCATCGTAGCCTAGTCCAGGTGGACCATGCTGAATCGAAGGCCTTCGAGAGTGTTGGCGCGAAAATGGATTCATGGAACTGAGTGCAGCGTTGAATCCCAGGTCGGCTGTACTCAGTGGGGATGATCGTTGGCCTGTAGGCTCAGGGGCCCATCCGAAGCGCTGGGAACTTTCCGTAGACGGCCGGGGTAGCTGATTTTCGCCGAACGACTTTGTCGAGCCTGGACGGGGAGACGAAGATCGTTCCGGACCG